TAACATGACGTCATTTTTGACGAGACAAACTCACGTCGTCATTACGTTAATATCACGTCATAAACTAACGTCGAACTGGTCAAAAACTGACTTTATATTAACGTCATTATAACGTCAGCTGGTTGCCTGGGTATATATATATATATAGCAAGAATATGTAATCTACATTTTGATTATTATTGCTTTACCATGAGCCAGAACTCTGCTCATTCTTGTACACAAAAAGAATATCTCCTGATCACTATACAAAAGTATGGATAAATACACTTTTTGCTGGTGTTTGTTCCTTGCCAGCAGTTTGTAAAATGTGGGATCTATATTTTATAAGTTGACCCGTTTTTTTGCTGTTTTTTCCTCTTATTATGATTATAAATGCCAGGTAAAAGTTTATACAATTATTAGTTTGATATATTTATTGTTATTTTATATAAATTGATCTATCTTACAGGGACCAAATTTTAAATATGAAAGATGAAGACAAGCAAAGTATAATAGATACTATTACATCAATGCCTTGTGCTTTAGAAGCAGAAGACGTAACAGATTTTTGTTCTTTGGCACAGTACTATGCGATGAAAACACCAAGTTTTTTCAAACAAGATTTATATCCTGTAATGTTTGGTGAATCTTCCGAAGAAAAATTAATATCCCACGCGTTGTGTTTGCCTGTATTAGCGCAGGAATTAGTAGAGAATTTTATCAAAGCTCCATCCGTATCTACTAGCACAGTCGAGACCGTTAAATTTTTTCTTGTTAATTGCAGACCTGCTGAACAATATAACGCAGGCCATAACAGCTTTTCATCTTGATTGCAACTTGGTAAATGTTTTGTTATAAAACTAATAACAGATATTGTGTGTAAACACAAACAATAAGTTACCCAAAGAAGTGATAGCATGCCTTGTTTGTACAAGAACATACATAAGATTAAGACTCGTTAATAATCAAATAATAGAAAATAATTTAAACAAAAAAAGAAAGAAAAAAATATACCGCATGTGTAATTAAAAAAACTAAATAATATGTTACTCTTCTCTAATATTTAAAATAAATATTTATATATTTATATGTAATTAACTCATGTTTTCTAATGTTTCAAATAAAATATTTATATATTTATATATATTTGTATTAACTTTATTTTCTCTTTGTATATTATTATACCTAGTGTAATTTAGCGTTACACTTTATAAATATGTATATAATTTACAATATTTTTTGTTTTTTATTTTGACATCGAGAAGTAATTACTGCAACTCTATGTTTGAATATCGCGCACAATTTTGGCCAAAAATGTGATTGGCTGTCCCCACCACGTTGCCGTCTCTATGCGCAATAACTCATCTGTATACTTACACCATGATCTCAACTTTCGATTGAGTCTACTCGATCGGTCTAGCCGTTGTTGAGATCGGAAAATCTCGAAAAGTGTCTCGGCTAAATCTCGCGTATAAGAAGCACGAGGTACCTCGCGCAGCGCGCGCGTACTCCGTTTGCGCATATACTTGGCGCGAGGCACTACCGTGCCTCTTGATATCGTGTTTACGGCAAGCCGCGTCTAATGGATTAATTCCCCGATTGCCTCTAGCTAATCATTTCTCTAAACGCGTTCTTGGGCCACAAAATTGGTAACCAGGATTATGTAATTCAACGAGAAGAGCGTTTATCACGCGATTTAACAATCCGTGACCTGACATAGATTACACCATACGTTTGACATCAGTGGTCTTCTAACGACTGAGTGGAAATGCTCGACGTGTCACTATAAATAATAGGTGCTACTTGTTATCGCAAGACAGTTGCAAAGAAACCATGCAGTTCGTGCGGCAACCTAAGGTAATCAAGATAACTAATTTCGACAGCAAAACTCGACAAATGTCCAACAAACAAATACGCAAAAATGGAATAATGCTACCGGTTATTATACACGGTATTGTGTGCGGTCCTTCGAATTGTGGCAAGACAAACGTAGTGTTAAGCTTGCTTGAAAGTCCACACAGTGTACGCTTTGAGAACGTATACGTGTATTCAAAGTCGTTGCCACAACCAAAATATCAATATCTAGAAAGTGCACTTTCATCAGTAGATGAAATCGGTTACTTTATCTTTTCTAATAATAGCGATGTGATTCCGCCGAATGAAGCACTTCCGAATTCCATTTTTATCTTTGATGACGTGGCATGTGACAAGCAAGATACGATACGAGAATATTTTGCACTGGGTTGTCACTCGAGTGTCGACTGTTTCTATCTCTGTCAGACGTACGTGAGGATACCAAAGCATCTTATACGTGACAATGCAAATCTGATAATTCTTTTTAAACAAGATGGTACCAATCTCAAACATGTGTACAACAATCACGTGAACACAGATATGTCATATGAAGATTTTTATACGTTATGTTGCAAATGTTGGCAACATAAATATGGATTTTTAGTGATCGACAAGGATAGTCCTTTGGACAAAGGTCGTTATAGACAAGGATTTACCGAATTCGCAATACCGTCAAGTGGTTAATTGGTGTTGAGACATCACTCTAGTATTATCTCTTACCGATGCGAGCAACATGGCTGACAAAAACAGTAAAATTATAAATCGCGAAAAAGTAGCAAAGAAGATTGCAAAAACGAGTCAATCCATTCGTCAAAAATATCGCGCTCTGAAAACCGGTAAACTAGAAGAGAAAATTGCATTAGAGAGACAGTTCAAACCTATTATTGAACCCTTAAAACAGATTGCTGAAAATACTGAAACAAATTCGCCAAATACATCGTTTTTCAAAGACGAGATCCGAATGAAGCGGAAAAGAATGCAGACGTCATCGAACAAAACATTGTCCCCTACTCTGCACAATTCAAAACGCGCATAATATAACACTGCAATGGTGACTTCTACTCCAACGAAAAAACGAACCAAACGACAATTGACATAGGATACTCCATCGGTTGATACTATCGTCGCCACTGATGCTACTGCCAACAAATCGTTTGAGTCACCTATTCAACGTCAAATGCAACCGTTGGAGGGTCTTGAAACGTTTAAAAGTCATTTTGGTCCGTTGGCGCAACAATATATAAAAGCTATTCTGAGTGGTAAGAAAGAAAACGACATAGAGTACGTATATGGTGTGTATTTCAACAACGATAGAATGATGCTTGGTGATAAACATTTTGATGTGGATGAACAAGATAATATAATCGTAGATGGTATACGATTCAAAGCAACACAAGGATTGTACGAACTGATTTTCATAAAATGTCCTAGGAGTGAGTTATATACTGAAGAAGATAAACAACAATACAAAACAATATTGGAAATGACAAGTGCTCATAGAAAACATCATAACCAGCTCGGTGCAATACTGGGTAACAAAAAATATAAATATAGATGCATAATTGCGCCTTTAATATCCAGCGTGCGTACTAAGCAGGGGAGAGGTATACTGCGTAATATGACGCTAAACGATCGAAAAATCGAGTACGCGCACTGGGACGATCCCACTAAACTCGTTGACCGTCTGCAATTGCTAAACGCATTCTGTCAGGCTAGCAATAATGCTCACAATAACGAAATTCTGTCAATTATCGAAGAACTGCGCGAAGCGAATCTCATTATAAATTAAATAGCGCGCCGACGTTAGAGTCAGTCGCGTGCGCGCCATCATGCCGATCAACAAATTCGGGATATTGCTCGAAACACACGGAGCGTCGATGTATTATTATTATGAGAGAGAGGCAATACTGCGAAATTACGTGTGTAATAACGCTCTCTTCTTTGACGGTTCCGGCTACGATACAAGGTCGCGCAAGATACTGCATGTAGCGCAACCCGATACCGACGCTGACGCCGCTAACAAACGATACGTAGATATGTGTGTCACAAATGTGAATGAATGGCTGGAGACACGTGAGAGAAAAATTATTGTATTGCAACAAGACGTGCAAGCGTTGCGCGACTCTATAAAACAAATTCAGTGTACACTTTAAAATCTATCAAATCATAATAAAACGACTGACTCAGTAGACATATAGTAAGACAGCTATGGCGAGGAATCATGTCACAATCAAAAAACAACGTCTCGTAGAAGAATTGCATGCTCCGGCGAGAAGAAATTTTCCCCGTTGACGCGTTATCGTATGCAGATACAATGATCTCGGGCAAGCGGATGTGGTAGACATGCGTCCGTATTCGCGCGTCAACAAAGGCTACCACTACATACTTACGGTTATCGATGTGCTGAGCAAGTACGCATGGGCCATACCGCTTAAGAGTAAGAGTAGACGCAAAGTCACCAAAGCTTTTGCAGGAATATTTCGGGATAACAAAAGATGTCAACACAATTTGCAAACTGATCGTGGAAAGAAATTCTACAACACAGATGTACAGACATTGATAAAAAAGCATAGCATCAATCATTATTCCACATATTCGGTTATGAAGGCTTCGATTGTGGAACAATTTAACCATACGGTGAAGAACAATATGTGCAAACAATTTACACTTAACGGAACCTACAAATAAATTGACATACTACCGCGTCTTCTTATGGAGTACAACGCACGAAAACATCGAACTATCGGTATGCGACCTATCGATGTTACCCCCGCAATCGCCGATAAGCTCTTAACCACGGTGTACAGCAACATCAAGATCGCAGGGCCAGCACGATTTCAAGTAGGTGATCCAGAACGCGTGAGCAAATTTAAAACAGTATTCGATAAAGGATATACACCAATTTGGACGTCCGAAGTATTTAAAATTAATAAAATACAAACGACTTATCTTGTGACGTATCTGGTTGAGGATTCACGTGGACAATCTGTTGCTGGAGGATTTTACGAATACGAATTGCATCGCGTTGCAAATCCAGAAGTTTATCTCGTTGAAATGTATTGCGCAAGAAATGTTTATGTGAAGTGGCTAAGGGTAGGCAAGTCATACAACTCTTGGATAGATAAAACTAATGTATTGTAAACACACTATATACAAAAATTATATTTATAGAAACTACAATACAACTTACAACATATATACATAATTATTATTACACATATTAATTGACAATATACATATACTCTATATTATACACTATTTTCTTGTGGTACTTTGTAATGTCCCCATGGTAACGTTTTGGTAGACTCGGTTTATCGTCGTATGGACTTAGAGCAAGTTTTGATTCGGACACAGTGTATACTTTGTGTAGCGTTGATCGTATACACGACTGTCGACGCACCTTTTTGATTTCATCGTTCAAACATTGTTTGTAATCGTCAAACGTTAATGTTGTTGCTACGACGTTACTCTTTACACCTTTGGCCTTTTTATGTTTCTCTTTCCGTCTACCTTCAATGCGTACATTTTTGTTATAAGTCCGACGAATTCAGTCATTATCATTCCATTATTTTCATCTTTCATCAATCCTGGAACCATTTTGTTGACGCGTGGCATACCATACACGTTATCAGCCGGATAATCACTTGTATCAAACCGAGCAATGTCACGTTTTATGATATCGTACACGTTCTCGCATTCAATGAAATAAATGAAACTGTCTGTGTCGGTGTACATAATTTTACATTTTTCTTGGTACAGAGATGCCATGTAATCGTAATGAAATTCGTACAAACACGTCTTGGATATGTCTAATATGCACATGCCTACATAAATCGGTTTGTTGAATTTCACCTCGAGTTTACGCAATTCAATTGCAATAGAATTTTCAGAAAAGACGCTTCGGCTATGAAAATTTGGTTGGGAGATCAGTGCTTCCGCACCGTATCTTCCGTCCCACTTTGGTACGAGTTTTATATCCACATGATTACGCACATTTTCCATAGTTTTACCGAAAACCGCGTTATTCATCAATTTGTACAAATTTTTCTCAAAATCGTTGGTAGCCAGCGTTCGTAATTGTGTTTAATTCGATGTAACTGCGGAGCCATGGAGATTGTGCAAATTGTAATATGCGATAGATCTTTGTAATACGAAGACCGTGTCGTACACATTGTTGCAAGGCGCGATAAAGAATAATATAACGCGATTTAGCGTGTAGTGTGCCGAGCAGTTTCTCCTGCCGCTTGCCAGGCGGCTTATCGCGCGTTAGGCAAAACGGTAGATCAGCGTGTGCGTCGTGCAGTTCGCAAGGATAGTCAAGGTCGACTTCAAGGATGTANCCGATATCTGAGGTTGATGTTACAGACATCACGTCAACATTCCAGATGTTGTCTACCTATTGGAATGCGGCATACGGTAGCGGCTGACACATTGCCCACCCGTACAAGTTATTTATATCATAGTACATGAGATACGACGTTGGTTTTGATGAGTCGTACGTCTGCATGTACTTGTTATTAGCGTGCGCGTATCTTGTGCTACACTGACTAAGACCACCGCGTATACCGAGTTTGATAAACATAACCATATCAACATTGTAACGATGTAAATTGTTACGGCCGGGACCGACCATTCGTCCCGGCCTAAAAACCGGCGCTATGCGCTAAAATAATTATAATAAAAATGCAGCATGTATGAAATACACGCTGCCGATCTACCCGCCGCTTGCACCGCGCCACAAGCAATCTGCGCACCGCCCGCATTGCACGCTCTCCGCGCCAACAAGCGGCATGCGCGCCGTCCGCACTGCGCGTTCTCCGCGTCAACAAACGGCATGCGCGCCGCCCGTACCGCACGCTCCCCGCGGCTACAAGCGGCCTACGCGCCTCCCGCACCGCGCGTTTCCCCGCGTCAACAAGCGGCCTGCGCGCCGCTCGCACCGCGCGCTTCCCCGCGCCACGAAACAAATCAGCGTGACANACAAACAAGTGTTTTCCGCGCATCTTGTCACCTCCGCCCGCGAAAAACTGCGGGTATAAAAGCCGGGCCAAAAACCAACAAGATCAGATCTGCTCCAATCTCCGGATCAACAGAGAAGCACCTAGGGAAGCTCCTTCTCGGTCGGGTAAACCGACAGCGACTCTACGATCCGATCCTCAACGAAGAATCTCTGATTTTCTGCCGGGTAAACCGGCATCTGTTTCGATCCGCTCAGGGGAATCTTTGATTCTCCGCCGGGAAAACCGGCATCCGTTCCGCTCCGCTCCAGGGAATCTCTCGATTCTCTGCCGGGTACACCGGCATCCGCTTCCGCTCCGCTCCGGGGAATCTTTGATTCTCCGCCGGGAAAACCGGCTCTTTCTGCTAGATCCGCGCCAGGGGAATCTCGTATTCTCCGCCGGGCAAACCAGCGCATTCCGCTAAATCCGCTCTAGGGGAATCTCGTATTCTTCGCCGAGCAACTTGGCTGATTCCGCTAGATCCGCTCCAGGGGAACAAGCGAATACCAGCGCCGTCTTAAGCCCAGCGAAGAGAACCGTCCGATCATCAAAGATCATTTTTCCGTAAGAAAGCGACGTTTATGCGATGTAAATATTTTTCTCGATATCCGGCGCACGTGATAAAACTCACTTTTTGAGACACCGCTGCGCAAGTCACGTTTTCGTAAGAAAGAAACTTTCTCTCCGTGGAAATATTTTTCCAAGTTTCTAAAACTCGCTTTTCGAGCGCTACCAGTTAAATCGCCGTTTTGTAGATAAGCGACTTTCCGCGTGTAAATACTTTTCGAATCTGCCCAGATATCTTGGGGCTCAATTTAATCAGTTTTACCGAAACTTATTTTTTGTACAGCTATTTTTCTTTTCCTTTCTATTCTTTTGTACAAACGGCGTCATTAATTCGAAGAATAGGCGCGGGGATCGGAGGGCAAGCGGAGCGGTTGCTCGTAGCGCCAACGGGCGCCGTACTAACTAGTAGCAATCGGGTGTCCACAACTGGACACCCGATTTTGGGACTAATGGATATTTGGATTACCTGGACTTTTTATGTGATCCCCGCGCCTATTCTTTGATTTAATGACGCCGTCTGTACATATTCTTTTTTTTGGTGTATGAATAAAGTCTATTTTTTTTTGTTCTAAAAATAACCAAGTGCAATCTATTTTACCTCACCCTAATCCTGACGAGCTATTCCGCAGCTAATCTTAAAATAACTTAAACAGAACGGAGTAAGTTTAGCAAAAGAAAAAGCATGACCGTTACATGGCGCCCGAACAGGGACAAATAAAACAGGGTAAAAACAGAGTGATTTGAATACCGTATAGCTACTGTACAACCAAACGAGGTTTTTTTAGCAATTCAGAACATTTCGTTTTTTTTGTTTGTTTTTGAAAGATTTGGTACAGCAACCTAAAATCCAACAATGGCATGGATACAAAAACTCTCAAAAGAACAATTGATCAGTAAGCTGACGATTCGAAAGATAGACGCAACAGGAACGATCGAGGAGTTGCGACAAAGTCTAAGAACGTTCTCGAAAGAAAATCCAGCGTATCCAGGAGCACAGGGTGCAACAAACGAAATGCAGAACCCCCTGGCATTCCCGCCACCGGCACTCGACGCAGGAAAAGCAATGAGCCAATTGCGTAAATGGGGGGTACAATTTGACGGGAAAGATTCACTGGGCTTCCTCGAGCACATTGAAGAGTTAGCCGAAGCAACCGGATGTCCAGACAAAATCCTACTCAAATCGTTGCCGATTTTACTACGCGGAGAAGCGCTGTTGTGGCATAGAAACAACAAGGCTTTTTTCGACACATGGCAACAATTCCGGCGAGAATTTTTAAATCAATATCTCTCACCAGCTTTCCGGGAGAAAGTGACAACGGAGGTACTTAACCGAAAATAACGGCAGAACGAACCATTTAAGACGTATGCCACCAAACTGCTCATGAAAATAAGACGGGCAGGAGAATTTACGACTGAACAACAGCTCCAGCGACTGTACGCCAACATGGCGCCCGACTTTAAATTTTACATACGTCGGGGAAGTTTCTAAACGATCGGAGAGTTAACAGCATTGGTTGCCGAGTACGAGGAGCTCGAAGAACAGAAGAGAGAATCCCGGAAGCCACCGGTAGCCACCGCAGCGGCAGTTTATAATCGGGCAGAATGCTGCTGGCGCTGCAAGCAGCGGGGGCATACGAGGCAGCAGTGCCAGAGACCGGCGAAACAAATTTGTTTGCAATGCGGTAAAGACGGAGTGCTGACAAAAGAATGTCATCCACGTCCGGAAAACGCCGCACGGACCGGGGAAACTGCCGCAACGAGCCGGTCCGACCAGTAATTAACTTTAAACCGCGGCCGTACATATGGATTAATTTCCACGGAAATGCTATAGAGACACTACCCAGTTAACAATTTGATATCCAATGTATATACATTGCATATACATCAGTGGATATAACATATTTTATGTACATACAGTGATACACAAACGACGTATTATGAATATCACAGGTATGTGCAAATGCAACGCGCTGTATATGCATTGTGTACGTGCACAATATGCTTGTGTATATTTGATGAACATTCTACGTATATACAAACATGCCCATTGATAAAAAAAGTACATGGAAGATATCTGCAGTGAATATGTATTAGACATCCCATATATGTAATGTATATCCA